AAACGCCAATATCACTTAATCCGTTTGAATTCTCATTAGCACAGCTCGTTCCACCAAATTAAGTGCTACGGTCTCAAGATACCCTATGGAGGGTTAGAAGAATCAGTTGAAGCAACAAGCATTTTTTCTGAGATCGGTTGAAGGCCAGTTTGAGGTTTTACTTTAATGTGTGGTTTCCAACTCACTCCCCCACAGGACGATGTATTCCCTATTATTAAAAGCAGCAAACAGCATAACCCATCCCTTCTGTATTTGCATCATAATGTACCAACGCCTGAGGAGGAGCACGAAAGGATGGCTTTTTAGACAATCACCAGACCTGCTGGAAACTTGCAAGCAAGAAAGCAAGGCAGACTGTGAGGCTTCTAACACTGCTTGTCTCTCTTGAAGTCGTTGGTTCTACACCAACAGGTATTACCACTTTTATGGCTTTCTTCAGAAGGGTGGGGTGAGTCCTGGAGGTCTCAATGCAGATTAGGAACATTCTTTTCCAAGGAAGAGTAGAAGACTAACTTTCCCTTTCTGTTATCTTTCCTCCATCCTACACCTCACTAATTCTTTGCAACATGGACTAAATCTGACACTTCCATGTATCCAACAGATATTTGATAAGTTCTTACACACCATGCACTGTGCTGATAATACATGTGGCCATTGTTGTATCTTAGGCCACAAAGGTGGGGCAACACAGCAGTAAGGCATAGTGACTCCTGGTATAAGATAAGTGATTTTCAGCCTTTGTAGATCTATAGCTCATTTTTTATAAAACTGGCTTTCTCTGAGCTTGGGGATCACCTAAGCAGTCAGAAGATTTAAACAACACACACAGAAAGGACTACCACTTCCAACAAGGGATAAAAGTGGCCACTTGACTGTAGTATAACATTCAGATGGAAGAGTTGTAGGCAGAAGCTATTTCACCCAATACTAGTTCCCCACATGCTCTCTTCCTGATCCATTTTACCTAAGGAGCTTATTTCCCCACCATCTGCAATTTCACAGTATTGGTATACATTTTTGAAAGCTAGAATTATCGAGGAAAATTATGCAAAGTGGTGGGAGTGATTATATAAAAACGTTTAATAAGGCAGTTGAGTGTGATTTCAGTGGCAATGCATATAAATGCAAAGAACATGGGTATATGAATCATATGGAAAGTTAGTAGGTACCGTTTTAATTTTTAATTCCCTCTTCATTATGTCTTTTAAAAAAACAGTTGGCTCCTTCAACATCTCACTTTTACTAAATTTAATAATGAAAATATAATGAACAGAGCAACCACCGACTAGAAACCTATAGATTTCTGGCTAACCAAAACTGGTAGCACCTCAAGTCATGCACACCTGAAGTTATAAATTGAGACCAGAAGTATGTAAACCCACATCTATGTGAGAGAATGTACTTAACCACTTCTACCGTGGTCCTTGTGTTTGTCCGATTCTTCCTACCTCCTAATCACCAAGGACCCCTTTTATTGCTTTTCCCTCCAGAGTCTCAATGTTTCCCAAAGGTTTGACAAATTGCATTTATTAAGTAATAACTGACTTGCTTCATCTATGTCACTGTTTTTCTCGTTTCGACACTGATCCCATCTTTAACCAATGATCTAGAATCACCCAGAGTTCATTATTGCTGTTAGCGTTGTGATGATGCAAAGGCAATCAAGGTAAGGAAACAGAGGCTTAAGCGCTATTCACAGCTGAAGTAATTTGCCATTGGCTGTTATTTCATATTTGAATCATGTGTGAACTCCTAGATATGTTCACTTAGGTAGTGTGACCACCTGGTACAAAGCTTTGTCACCATGACCGGTCCACACTCACCCCCAGAATTTTCTGTAAAGCCGTAAGTAGTCAGAGGACCTAACTGGCATAAGCTGACAACTGTTATTCCTCTGAGCGAATTTTTCCAGACAAAAGCCAAGACAGACATGTTTTTGTCAACTGAATTTAACGCTATCAAGCTTTCTCAAATAACTCATACATACAACCCCTTACTACCTTTGTGGGCCATTTTAGCCACGTGAATTAAAAACAGTGCAACTCAGTTCTGGTTCACAGAAACTCACCAGCCCTAACAGTGAGGGGGCTCTGACTGCCAGGATAAGGCTCTTATCTCTCTGTGATTCATTTTCTTCATTTATAAAATGAGGATCCTTTCAGATCAATTTCTGAGTTTCTAAATTCTCAATGTTGGGAGAAGTGAGTAAGCAGCAATATGCATTGCAATGACAACAATTTAAGCTATTAAATCCTTTTACTAGATGTCTGACTACTTGAAGATACAGAATAAAAATATACAATAGATTAGTGATTTTGCAATTATCCTGTTACTTCTTTTATATAACCCAACTGTATAATTCGAGACAAAGTTTGGCGTTAATTACTGGCTTGCGCATCAAAATCACAAGAATATAGTTAAATTCCCATTTCTTCTTGTCCTAGGAGGAAACCTGACTGCCAAGAATTGCTCCAGCTCCCTTTAGCAAGAAGCATGTTAAAAAAAAACAAAGTGTGGTGGGGGCCGGCCCCATGGCTTAGCGGTTAAGTGTGGGCGCTCCGCTAGTGGCGGCCCAGGTTCCGATCCTGGGCGCACACGGACCCAGCGCTTGTCTGGCCATGCTGAGGCGGCATCCCACATACAGCAACTAGAAGGATGTGCAACTATGACATACAACTATCTACTGGGGCTGTGGAGAGAAAAGGTGGGGGAAGGAGGATTGGCAACAGATGTTAGCTCAGGGCCAGTCTTCCTCAGCAAAAAGAGGAGGATTGGCATGGATGTTAGCTCGGGGCTGATCTTCCTCAAAAAAAAAAAAAAAAAAAAAAAAAGCATGAGGCCCTTTGAATAAGTGTTTCCCTCATTTAAACTTGGGCTGTTATGGGGCCTCACCCTTAATACATAAAATTCACACAAGTTAACCTGACAGTAAAATTCACAAGTTAACCTGACAGTACACAGTGCTCTGAACGTTTAGAAAAGAGGGCTTTACAAGAATTCCAAATATTTTTGCACAGAACATATGCAGCATTTTGCTTTTTTGTAGCTTGGAATTATTTTTGGTAATGCCTGGATAAGGTTAAAACAGTCTCCTCAGTAGTATTGTGAATGCCCGTTTGCCAATTCAAATAATTTCTGGAGAAACAATCCTTCTATTTAAACAGGAGGAGTCAGAGAGATCTGCACTATTTGAACAAGCAAGGGAGAGTTTGTTTCATTAACAAAATGCAACACATACGCACAGTACTTGAAGATGCTTTTGCAAAAAGTCATTTACAAGAATGATATTCCAAACAGGAATAACGTCTTAGTCTTGCCATACATTTTTATACTTTAATACACTAAAAATAAGCTTAAATGCAATATGAATGATAAAACTGGAGACTGGATGATAATTCATAAACTTTTTATAACCACATACACAACATATATGCCAAAAATTACTTCCACTTAGTTTAAGAATGACTACTGAATTTGAAAGTCACTTGATCTACAGAGCTGAGAAGAGGCAATGGGTGACTGACTGCAACGCAACTTAATGCAAGCAGTGGATGAGAAAGTATGATACTTACCTAGGAGTGGAACGGAAAACTCCACAGGGCACTCAAAACTGAGCTGAGGAATGGTGTCTTCAATCACGCCCGATAGTTTGGGATCAGGAAATGCTACTGACATACTTCTCTCCTCCAAAATGAGGGGTCTACTTAGAGGATCCCAACGACTTTTACCAGCCCCGGCATTCTGTGACTCTGAATTACCTAGAGGGTTAGGTACTTGAAGGATCTGAGTAATTAGCTGCCAGCTGTAGACAATCAATCCATAAGCTTGCCCAGAGAATGACCGATTCAAAACAGCTGCTTACTTTAGGCCTGTTTTAAGAGGCTGGGTAAATGGGGATGGGAGGGTGGTGGCAAGACTGTACTTACTCTGAACTACAGTTTTTCAAAAGTCAATTCAAAATCTCTCCAAATTTCTAAGAAGTGCCTGCTGCTGCTGAAGTTAATACTTTAGAAAACTAATAAACACCTGTGCATCCAGGTATGCCTTGGGCAAATTACAATCTCTCTGGGTCTCCACATCTTGACCCAAAGAGGACTTACAGATTTCTACTGAACCTTCTAGGATCCACATTCTATTAAAAGATTTCCTAGGCAGTTTCTATTGAGAACATGTACCCAATTAGGGCAATTGGGGTCATTATTTTTGTCTGCTACAGAACATCAGACCCTTGGGGTCCGGTTTTAAAACTCAAGTTGGTAGACATTACACCTGAAACAAACTCCTTACCTCTTTTGGGGTGGGGGGGGAGCATTCATTACGAAGTGGTTATACACTAATCCTTTATTTTTCATCAATAGTGCGTTTCATTAGGCCTGCCTGGACCAGGAATTACTAACCCACAGCAACTCTACAAAGCTGCAAACCTTCTTCACTGTTTGAATTTGATGTCCTAATTACACAGCAGTATAGGAAACTTGTCCATTAACTCACCGAGGAAAAATTCTACCCCTTCGCCCTAGTGAGAACTTCTCTCTAGCTAACAGCAGGGTTCAGATTCCACCTGTTTCGCCTAGCTACACGCTCATTCACACCCACGGCAAAGCCAGTTCCAGCTGGGCCAGGTGAACGGGAATGCGCCAGTGCTGTTAGAAATTAAAGTTGATGGGAGTTGCGTTCTAACCCGGCCAGAGCCCAGCCCACCGGCTGCAACCACCGCACGGCCGGAGCTGTCGGGTCGGTCTGGGTCTCACAGATGCCAAGCTGACAGCTTCTGCCAACCGGGAGGTGGGGAAGAAGACGCGTCCGCTGCAACTCGATACCCAGCGGGCTAAAACACCGTCTCCCCCCACCCCATGATTCCTTTGCCCTCCAAGATTAACAAAAATACAGTGTCCTGCGTTGAGCAGGACAGAGGACAGGCGCCCCAGAGCTCTCCCGGGAAAAAACCCCGGGGAGGGAGAAGTGGCCGCAGAAGGCGACGGGTCCTGCGTGCAACTCACCTTCTGCTGCCGCCGGGCCATGTCGGTGGGCTGCTTGGCGTTGAAGGGATACGCGATGCATCTCACGACGAAGACGTAGAGCTGCAGGCGGATCCTCCGCTCCTGCTCCTCGTCCAGCTGCCGTTCGGGCTCGTCTCGCCCCTCACTGAGCACCGAGGGGCTCGGGCTCACGGGTCTGGCCGCACCGCCGCCGCCCGCGCGTCCCGGCGCGTCCCGCCGCCCTTCCCGAGCTGGGGCCGGCGCTGCTCGCTGCGAGCCGCCGGCCGCCACCAGCACATCGCGGCTCTCCTCTTCCAGCCCCTCGTCCGACTCCTCTTCGCTGGAAGACGGGTCCAGCATGGTGCTCGGGGAGCCCCGCCGCTCGGCCCGCGGCCCCCAGGCGCCTCACCCCGGGCGGCTGCGCCCGCGGGTCTGAGGGAGCCGCGCGCTGGCAGCAGCGGCTGCAGAACGAAAGGGAAACTGGCCAGGGCTTTCCGGACACGTCGAGTTGGAGACTGGAGTGTTTCCTACCACCCGGACGAAGGGGGCGGGCAGGAGCCAGGAGGAGGACGGAGAGTGGGGAGCCGCCGGGATTAAATAGGCGGAGTTAGCGATGGGGGCGAGCCCGAGCGCCTTGTGAATTGCTCGGCCGGCCCGGAGCCCGCCAACCCCATGGTTCTGCCGCGCCGGCAGGCAGAGTCGGAGTGGCCCGAGCGCCCGGGCGCAGGTGGGGAACCTGTGGCGCCTACAACAAGCAACACGTGGAATGGAATGTTGAGGAGCGGGCGGGGGGCCGCGGAGTGCGCGTGCGCGAGCCGCCGCGCTGCCCCGGGCCCAGGTGCCCTGGTGCCGGGGCGCCCGGTTTGCAAAGGTGGGGAGCCGCTGAGCGTAACGGCTCTGTGTGCGCCCACCAGGGGTTGCTTGGACTGCCGTGACCCCACCACCCACCCTCTTTTCTCCTGCAAGCTACCTTCCCACAAGCCGGCGAACAGGGGGCGAGAGAGCTGCCCTCGCACCCCCAGATGTGGGGAGCGGCCAGAACATCTTTCAAACCCGAACCTGATACCCAGGGTTGAACCCGAGCGCGGAAAAGTGGGGCCCGAGCCGTTCACTTCCAGATAACGTTGGGAAGAGACTTTGAAAAGTCTCTCGTTCTGCTCTACTACTGCTTAACACTCGTGCTGAAGTCCGAATTATAAAAGTCAAAGGAACCTTCTTAAAAAGAAAAAGAAAAAAAAAAAAACGCGAGCCTTTCGTTTTAAACTGTCTTTATTTTTGTAGACGCATGAGCAAGATAGATTTTATATTTGCGAAATGGTACTGATTCAGCTCACACATAGCTCAATTATTTTCTGGGCTGGGATGCGGTTGACTCAAAACAGGTTATTTACTATAGACATTTATTCAGCAAATATTTGAGCGCACGCCGGGTGTCCAGCACTGTTAGGATGTGCACGAGCCTGCGGCGCACTGGGGCACACAACACTTGGTCACTGTTTGTTCTGGCCTCAAGCAGGCGTCTCGTAGCTGCACCCTGCCGGTCTTATCTGCGCAGATTTCTCAGTCCCAATGCCAGAACCACCTAGGAGTTTCTTTTGGTGATTTTGTTTCCGATGTTCTTAATCCGGACAGAAGGAGAAATGGGGAAAACATGCATTCAACACAAGGTGCAGTGTGCAGTGGCCAACCTGGCAGGGAGGTGATGACGCTCAGTGGAAGAATCACTGGGCAGATAAAACTACTGGCTCTGAGCTTGTCTTCCCAGTAGCCAGATAGCAGCTTTAGCTTTTTCAAGTCACTTCCGCAGTTAGGTACACAAGAAAGAAGCTTTCCTTCTGCATTTACTGACATTCTCCCTAGATGGGGTAAAAAGACAAGGAGGCATTTACTCCTGGGGAGACTTGCCTATTCATCAGTCCTTGACGGGTGCCCACAGTGATGAAAGGTGTTCTTTGAGGGCATGACCGCTGGCTGATCAACTGCCAAGGAAAAAGAAATCTCAAAAACTGATGTATTTAAAGACGGTTTCATTTTTGGCAAGGTAAACAATAAATGACAAGCTTATTCATTTAAGTCATAGTATCTAACGCTTATATACACAGCACTTTACAATTTGCAAAGTTTTGTGAATGTGCTTATCTAATAATGTTGCCGAAGTAACCTTTTGAGACAGGTGATGATGATAATGATGATGATGACCATTTACATGCTTTGTACCCAGTACTGCACTGAGCACTTTACATACATTATCCCCTTTATTTTTAGTTCTATTGTACAGATGAGGAACCTGGGACTTAAAGAATCGTCTTTGCTACAGAACTAACAGCTAATGGAACAAGGACTCAACATAGTGAGTCCTTTCTAGTTCCAAATAGTGGCTTTTTCTATTACAATTTGTCTGATTATAAATCAGCATATTAATCATATGATGTTTATTAAATTGACAACTAAAATAATTTAACTTCTAGGGACATAAAAGTACAATTTAAATATAGCAGCTTTATTGCCTTTCCTTTTCTTGCCAAGGGGAGGTATATTTTTCAGTTTCTTTTATTATTTAGTTGATACTACTTGATGTGATAGCTTATTATTCTCTTCCTATTAAAAATGGTTATCAAATAAAATATTCTCCAAGCATTGGAGATCCCACTGGAAATAACTAATATTTTTTGAATAACATATACATTGTTTTCTCTGTGAAAATGAAAATGGTTTAAGGGGCATAAATTAGAGAAATATCCAAAAGACAACAAAGAGAATGTTTAAGGATTTCATTAATTAAACATACATTTGTTAAGAAACTAACATATGTTAAAACTATGCTGAGTATATTTAGAAGAACAAGATACTGTTTCTGATCTTAAGACATTTACAGGTTAAAGAATGATAAATGAGAAAAACATTTATTTAAAAAAAAAAAAGAAATATTGGGGCCGTCCTCGTGGCACAAGCAGTTAAGTGCGCACGCTCCACTGTGGTGGCCCGGGGTTGGCAGGTTGGGATCCGGGGCGAGCACTGATGCTCCACTTGTCAAAGCCATGCTGTGGCGGCGTCCCATATAAAGTGGAGGAAGATGGGCACGGATGTTAGCTCAGGGCCAACCTTCCTCAGCAAAAAAGAGGAGGATTGGCATTGGATGTTAGCTCAGAGCTGATCTTCCTCACACACCAAAAAAATTAGTGTTGCAATCTGATGATAGTTCTAATAACCCATGAGATAATGGTAATACAGAGAAGATATATCTCATTCAGGATAGAGTAAGGGAAGGCTTCCAGGATGCTTGACATGTCTTAAAAAATGATTCAGAGTTGTTGGGGTGAGGGCACTGTAGACAGGAGGAACCACATCTGCAAAGGCGTGAAATTGATTGCCACATTTGGAGACTGTAAATAAACCAGCATACCTGAAACAAAGGGTACGTATGAAGATGGGGGAAATGAGACTAGAGAACAGGCAGAGGCAAATTCAGCACTGAGCAGGACAGTGGGCAGGCATCCATGGCCTTGTATGCCAAGCTGTGGAATGTAAACCATATCCTGAAGAAAATGGGGATGCACATAAAGGCATAAATAAGGAAAGACATAAGGTGATCTGTAGCCCTTAAGAGTCAATCTGGAGCAATGTAAGGGCAGTGAAACCAGAGGCAAGACACCAAGAGATTACTAAGGAAATCTGGGAGAGGAATATTGAAAGCTTGAATTTAAGACAGGGGACAAGGCAGGAGGAAAGCTTAAGAGATGGAAAAAGAAATTAATAGGATACAGACATGAGGAGCTGAAGAAGAGGATCAAGGATAGAATATGATTCCCAGGATAGGGTAACTTGACTGAAAATAGATGAAATATGGACTTACAGAAGACAAGTAGGTTTGGAGAAATATCAAGTTTTGAGAAGTTTATCAGAGAGATCCTCAACTCAGTTGGAATGCAAAACTGTTACTCAAATCTGGATAAGGGAATCCTCAGCACATCGGTGGCAGTTGAAGCTACAAATATGGATGATAAGGTCCAGAAATTGTGTGTTCAAAGTGAGAAGAGGGCCAGTGATGGGTCTTTGGGGAACCCTCCCTGCCTCTTCTCCAATTAAGGAGTGGTTCAAAGAAAAGGAACCTGAAAAGAAGACCTGATCATTAAAAATTAATTGTGCCCTAATAATTTTTCATTAACATTTTCAATTTTGTGCTTATACTTATGTTCCTGTCAAATTTCTACCTTAAATATTAACTTTTCAGATAATTATAACATCAGTTGATGCTCTGGGATAATTGAATAAGTGATGCCCAACATAAGACTATGATTGGTTTGTACCGTTTCAAAAATACACAAAATACACTTGAATATTCAATGGTTCCTTTTTACTTTCGACAAGGCGAGCATAAAAACAATTTGAAGTTATACTGCTTTTTAACTCTAGTGCTAGGGAAAGATGGATGCACAGTAATAAAATAGAATATAAAAATATGTTTGGCAATGATATTTAAGGAAACAGGTGTGTGACCTGAATAGGTGGTCTATTTTCTGGTTGAGAATTGATTTGTGCATTTGACCTGAAAGGAAGATATTAACTCTTTCAAGTCACACATGAAATCATTCTTTCATTGAACAGACATTCTTTGGGCACCCACTCTAAGTTCTGCACTATTCTGAGCAGAGAATAATATCTTAAGCAGATAAAACAATAAAATTTAGTCCCTGAGGGAATGTGTATAAAACAGTCATGAGCAAAATAAGAAATTACCATAATAATAGAGAAAAAATTTCACAAAATATCCCTTAAATGTTTTGTAAATGGGAAGTCTATTATCTTTTGCAGTATAGTTATAGCTAAAATTATATTAAAACAAAGAGAGGAATCTTTTTCAGATCAAATGAAGGACCAATTTTGCAAACATGTATAGGAAAACTGTCAACTCCCAAACCCAGCTAATAAAAGAAGTATGCATTTAAAAAAGTAAGATAAAAACCACAAATTTTTTGAAACTTTAAGGTGAGTATTTACATCTTATGAAGCAATAATCCTCCTGGCAACTTCATTTAAATCTCTTTTCTTCCTTTGCTCAGCTTTTTCTTTTTCTCCTCTCCAGTTAGAATTTGAGTCCTAGCAGAGAATTGTTCTGTAACTCCACTTTTTACAGATAATGGGTTAAAATATATGCAGGGGATCAGCACAAATTGACCAGTAAATGAGTAGTCCACATTGATCCACACACATACACACACACACACACACACACACACACAAGATACAGTCAGGGGATTGTTGTTAAGATTAAATAAGATAATGCATGCAAAGCACTAAACGACTATCTGGTATAGAGTAAATTCTCAGTAAATGCCAAGTATTTTACTGTTATTATGCTTTATTATTTAGCTCACTCTTAACCATAGAACTATAGAAATAAATTATAGATGAACTAGTAAATGGTTCTATGCATTTATTTATTGGGTTTTACATAGCTTAGAATTTGTATTTCTAAATTATTTGCCTTGAATCAATCCCATTTAAAGGGATTGGGAATTTAAATTGGGAATTTAAAGATATTC